TGTCTCTTATTTCAAAGAATATTTATTGAAGAATATTATACAGTTTGCTCTGTTACAAAAGCAGTTTTAAAATCCTGGATGACACAACGTTTCCTGGGATATTTCAAATATAAACAATTATACACGTCCAGAGGATTCGGAGACAGAAGTCGCTTCCCAACGTTGTGTTTTGATTTCTACAGAAGAACAAGGCATTCAGTGGTAAAATAAAATGTTTACAAAGCTAAGGTGCAATGCCAAAGTCACTGACAAATCCAGATATTTTACATCTAATATACACTGCCTTTAACATTAGGGGTGCTTAACACAAATTGAGTTCTGGCTAAAGTTAGAAGTGTGGAGTTACTGCAGCAGCCCGAAGGACTTCATGAGAGCTTGGGAAAAACATCTATTTCTTCAGTTTGACTAAAGATTTTTTTGTGTATTTAAAATAAATGTTGTCGTTTACATTTTGCCAAGAAAATAAAAGTAAAAGCAGAAGCCAAGTAAAAATAATTACCCACTTTTTCATGTCTTCACATATATATATATCAAAGTACAGGCAATGCTGATGACAATTATGACGTTTTAGTACATACACATTAAAGAATGTGCTGTGGATTTGCATAAAACATAGAAGAGACAGAATGATGTTAGAACCATGAAGAGATGCAGCATTTTACCAGACTACCAAACCCATTCAGACGTTTATCTATTATCCATTCACCCAAACCTTTGAAAATCAGTGTCGCTTTACATCGACAACGAACCTCTTTTTGGGAAAGTACTCAAACACGCACAAACATGGAGAAAAAAACAAATGTGCACACACACATACACATAATTAAATATGTCAAATGTAACCATAGAATGCACAAGGCAAAGAGTCTATGGGAACGTCATTTCTGAAATATTTACAACGTTAACATATCTGACAATTGAGAAATAGAGTTTGCACTTCTAAATTCTGTTAGAGACACTGATCAGCTACAGCGTTGGTGGCTGGTGATGAGAACAGTGAAATGGGAGATCTGGCCTTTTAAGTACCTGCACGTGTTTGTGCTGAAGAGAGCACCTGAGCTGGAACTCACGAATTCAGTCTTTGCAGATGAATAAACTACATCAGCTGAGTGGTGCAATCAAGATGATGATCAGGATAAACGGCTCGTATGAATCCGCTTGCAGACTTAAACAAGAAAAACAAACAAACCGGTAACTGTTCCATTTCCCTTGCCTACATTACAACATATGATTGTGTTTTTATTCACATTTACTCTACATGCTTGCAGGCTGTTTATTTTTTTGTTGGCCTTCTCAGCGATCCCTCTCAGGAAAGAGATTTTGATAGCCACACTTGTGCACAAGACTTGGAAGCTGCTTGCATTTTACTTTCAGAGCTACAAGGAATACTTTACTCGATTTTATTCCAACTTGAGCACGTTATCGCACCGTCGACGTATTAGGCTTTAAGGGCTGCCAAAATGCTGCGTCTGCAGACGAGGTTGTGTGAACAGATCATAAACAAAGAAGAAAATAACATTTTATCTCATCTAGGCTAGTGTGGACTAATCCTCTTTAACCAATAAGAAGACTCGCAGTTCAATTCAGAAACAGCATGGTGTTGATGTATTATTTGTAATATACTAATTTCCCAAACAAATTAGACAATGACTGCTCGTTGCATGGTCCTGTACAACAAAACCAACTCTTCTTCGCGCTGACTGATGATGTTTGAGAAAACCAGCGTTGCTTTGAGTCACCCATGAAAAACGAGGAGACTAAGAGAAAACTCTCGGTGCCGTGTTAAGCCTCACATACAGTAGCCGAGTTTTGACTTGGATGCATAGCAGACCTGCGTTACATACACGCATCAGTTATTTCAGCTTTCCAGGGGGTGTCTGTTCAGCTTGTCAGGCACAAAAAAACAAAACAAAATGAAAAACAAAAATAAAAGCCAAAGGAATTTTCCTAAAGCAATAACCTGACACACGCATGTGTGCTAGGTAAACCAAATAAACACACAACTAGCAACTGAAATATCTGAAGGGTGTATCTTCTCAGGTCTGCCCTGTGTTCGTTTTACAGAAGAGGCTGCTGATAATATGCTGCCTGCTGCTGCTGCTGCTGCTGAGGAGCCTGGTGAGGGGGAGCTGCTACAGGATAGGACACAGGAGGCATGCTGGAGTTGTGGTAGGCTGACATATCCATGCCTGCCTGAGGTGGGTAAGGAGCTCCTGTGGCTTGGCTCATGTACGGAGCGTTCAAACCACTGCTGTGAAATAAATCCACAAGTGACATTTAGGTCAACAAATTCATGAATCTATCATTTCAATGCATCCTCTAGAGAAATATGATTGTTAGGTAATATGATTTTGTTAGTAGTGATCAAATTCGGTTTTCTAAATGAGTGTTTCCATAGTAACAGTACATTTCCTCTTCCTGATTTCCTGTTTTTTTGTGTATTTGTCACACTTTAATGTTTCAAATCATCAAACAAATTTAAATATTAGATAAAAATAACACAAGTAAACACAAAATGCAGTTTCTAAATTAAAGTGTTTATGAACACCCAGGCCTGATTGCTGCTACACCTTTTCTCAATGAAGAAATCACTTAAATAGGACCTGCCCGATCAAAGCGGAGTAGACCAAAATATCCTCAAAAGCTAGACATCATGCCACGATCCAATAAGAACAACATAATCTCAGTCTACAAAAGGTTACAGAGACATTTCTAAAGCTGTGGGACGCCAGCAAACCACAGTGAGAGTCATTATCCACAAATTGCGAAAACATGGAACAGCGGTGAAACTTCCCAGGAGACACCGGCTGACCAGAATTACCCCAAGAGCGCAGTGACGACTCACCCGAGATATCAGAGTAGAACCCTGAACAACATCCAAAGAACTGCATGCCTGCAAGTTCATGACTCCACCGTAATAAAGAGACTGGGCAAAAATGGCCTGCAAACCACTGCTGAGCCAAAGGAACCTAAAGGCTCGTCTCAGTTTTGACAGAAAAGAAAGTCTTCTAGTAAAATACTCCGTTGACTGGCGAGACAAAAGATGAACTTTTCAGAAGGTGTGTGTCCCGTTACATCGTGAAAGTGAAAGTAATACAGCATTTCAGAAAAGGAACATCATACAGTAAAATATGGAGGTGGTAGTGTCATGGTCTGGGGCTGTTTAGTGCCTCGGGACCTGGAAGACTAGAAAACACCCTGAAGGAGAATGTTTAGTCTGTTTGTGATCTCAGGCTGAAGCTCACTTGGGTTCTGCAGCAAACCAGCAAGCCCACCTCTGCACGGCTTACGAAAACAAAATGAAGACTTGGATTTAGGTCAGGATTTAAGTCCTCACCTGAATCTGATTGAGATGCTGTGGCATGACCTCAAAAACGTGGTTCACGCTGAATTACAACAATTCCGCAAATATGAATGGGCTAAAATTTCTCCATGGGGCTGTAAAACCGCTAAGGGTGGCCCAACCGGTTATTAGGATTTGGGGGCAATCACTTTTTCACACAGGGTAATCATAACTTTGTTCCCCCCCCTTAATAATAAACACCATCATTTAGAAACTCCATTGTGTTTACTTATGTTATCTTTGTTTAAATTTAAATTTGTTTGATGATCTGAAACATTTAAGTGTGACAAACATACAAGAAAAAGGAAATCAGGAAGAGGGCAAACACTTCTTCACACCACTGTATATTTATGAGAGAAGAAAAGCATATCACAAGTTTTTGTTATTTTCCCTCGTGATGTGACGGCTATGTCAGTGACAATGACGCTGTTCATTGTGATGTACAAATTAAAATGTTTTTGGTGATTTGGAGACACATCAAGTGATTAAAAATCTGACTTTCAACGTCCTTGTTAAAAGGGTGGAGGTGTTATTCTTACCTCATGTAGGGCGGCTGAGCAGTCTGGCTGTTGGGTAAGGTGTTGGGTGGAGCTGAGACATTTGGGGGTAGTGAGTGTAGAGGTCCAGGCTGGTCGCTGGGCAGATTGTAGGGCTGTGCAGAGGGCATCTGAGGCATGGATGGAGGAAGATAAGGGGGTGCCGCTGGTCCAAGGTAGCCCTGAGAAGACCAGGAGAGGAGCGTGCTGATGAGTGAATGCACTGAAAGGATGTAATAGAGTTCGGCAGTGAACTTATTTCCCAGTAAATATAGCACAGAGCCAGAAAAACTGGTTGACCGCTCCCAGCAGGTGCTGCTGTCGGTGACTGCCACTGACCTGCTTGGTTTGTTTTGGCGTTTATACTGACCTGTTACCACGCCTATGCTGCAGCTGCCGGCATGCTACGATACTGCTGTTTGTAGTATTTATTAGTGAATATTTAACAGTTTATAAATTGTAACAGTCCTAATCTAAGCCACCAGATATGAGGAAGGTCAATTAGGAGAAGGGTTGCTCACAATGCATTCATATCTACATGTAAATTATATTTTCCAGTTTTATCTTGTGTTGGTAACTCAATTGCATTGGCCACCTCCTGACTGTCACAGTGCTAACAGTTCTCCCTTTGCCTATTTAGTATAACACTGGTTAATATGGGTAGCTTATTTTTTAAATAAACAGCTAGCTCTCGCAATATGCTTACTGCAGAGTTAGTAGTGTTAGTGTGACGGGTATAAAGCAGTCTTGTATAGGGATGGGTACCGGTATCCGGTGCCGTGATGGCACCGGTTCTGACATAAACGGTAGTAACCAGACCGAAAAGCAGCGCACATTTCGGTGCTTT